AAATGCAGTTCTACAAAATTAGTGCATACTGCCTTGATTCAACTACCTACAACTAACCATTTTTTCTTTGTTTTTCCCCACAAGTTAACATACTAGGTCATCAGTAGCAATTCTGAACCCTGTTACAAAGTACCAGTAGGGAATCTGACCAGGATTAATAGTGGTACTTAGTCCTGGGATTAGGTGGTGTCTTGTTTCATGGATTTTAGGCCATCTGTTCTTCTCCCATACATTATACTCCTGCAGAACTATAAACGCACCTCCACCTCAGGGACTATAGAAAGGAATTAGAATTCTTCTGCTTTTCATTATCACAAGATTCAGTAACTCATTTCATTGTCAGGATAATCCCCTTTTACTCTTTCTTTTGCGCTTACAGGGTATGCCAAAATGACAAATAAAATCCCAGATGCTAGAGGCTTGATGAGGTCTCCACCTTTTCTTGAGAGTTGGGTTTAAACTACTTGGGACACGGTGTCAAACCTGACAGGACCTTGATGCCCACACCCAATGTTCATTAAGGTTTGTTAGTGATTTGTATAGCTGTCTACAAGCTGCACTTCCACCTCAGTCCTCAGTGGCCATTTAAATATTTAGTTTGTCCTCTGGCTTTTACTGACAAAGAATTAATTTCCTATTGTTCAAGTGTTAGAAAGAGTTTATATTTCTTTCTAAAAGTAACAAATGTCTTCTGGGTGTTGTAAATGGCTTGTTACTGCTGCATATTATTTTAGGTAGTCATATCTAATTTAACGTTTTATTTCCCCATGGGCTAACTTGCATATCTGCAGCATCCAAAGGCTATGAAAACGCCTTAGCAGAGTTTTCTCAAGAGAGCCAGTTAACTCCAAAATGAATCTTGGTCTTTGCTCTACACTAATTAATAGCTTCATTTAATTTTTAGTATTTCTGTAAAAGTATCTGAAGTATGCAATTTCTTTCAGGTTTAGTAAAAATACTTGCCATTATCATACGCTCAACTAGTGTTTATTTTTTCCCTTTATTTATATGCTAAAGTAATCATCTCTGTGTATGGGATGAAGAGCTGGGGAATTCTGTCTATGCTCTTTGGAATATTTTATGTCCATAACTCTCTTGGTTCAGACACTGAACAGCAAGACTTCCCTCCTGCATCCAGCCAGAGCAAAATAAGGCTCCACTGAGAGGCTACGGGCTTCTTGCTGCCTTTCACTCTGGGGAGAACACAGTCCTCAACCTCTCTCATTTATCTGCTCTTTTGGCAGGTAGGTAGTGCTAATTTCAACACTAAATCTAAATTAACCAAAAACTATATAATTGCTTTCTATTTGTTCATATTGATTGCTAAAAATTATTTCAACTTTACTGGCATGTGACTGCTCTGGAGTGAGCTACGTATCTCAAGTGAGATACCAAGCAATCTCAAATCTGACTGGGTACATGGAGCTCAAGGGCTCTAGCCACTTTGTAGGAGATGTCACATACTTCATAGGAAAGGAATAAGTAAACCAGGTCTAACAACAGTTGTTGAACCTGGAGTTTTCAGCAGCAGTACATATAAACTGCCAAAATTGAGCTAAATGTCTGTTATTTGCTTTTTACAAAATGGATACAAGTTTTAATTTGCAACTTTAAACCACTAAGTATAAAATGACTACAGATAAATATTCTATTTAACATCAGTATGACTTAAAGTGCTGCCCTTAAGAGTATCAGAAAAACAATACTGGTAGCCTCTAATAAAAATGAATAATACATATTTTTTTAAGTGGATTTTGTTTTGGTTTGTTTTTTGCCAATACGCTGCACCACATTCTACAATAGTATTACTTTACTAAAACCAAAATACTTGGGATTTCACCATAGGCACAGAGGAGAACATAAGTATTCTAGCAGAAATAGTAACCATGTTGTTATAAGTAACTATTGTATTAAAACATGAAAAATGTCCAAAAAATGAAATCCCTTGACACACTAAAGGTTTAGGGTTGTATAACAGTGCAGCAGGATATGTAGAAATGGTGGTGCTCTAATTTGATCCAACTGGAATTCAAGTGTTCAACACTTACAATTTATTTTGTTGAGAGTGAAATAATTCAACTAATTAGTCCCTCCGTTTTTCAGAAGCTACATCATTTCACTTTCATAATAAATTAAGAGGAAAAATTAAGACAGAAGGCCTTGAGATTCCACAATTAAACCAGGAAAGTCTAGAGGGAAAACTGATAATTATATATAAAAAAGTTACATAGTAAGCTTCCTGCTTAATTTCAGCTAAAAAAATCAAAGCATTACACAAGGTCACGCACTTTTGTTTTCCCCCTATAAGGGAGGAAAAGCTGACAATACATTCTTGCGAGGTTTTTTTCTAAATAATTCCTAGCAAATAGGATTCGTTACAAACCAACCTCATCTCCTACACTAAAACTCATCTGGAAAGGGGTCATTTACACTGTTTATAAAATACTGCCACATAAAATGTGTAAAAAAACATATTTCACTAAAAATAGCTTGCGTAAGTAAGGGATTAGAGTAGTTTCTACTGCTGTAATTGTTCCTTTGTAGTTTTTTCCAAGATGTTTTTGAACAGTGTTTTTAACTATGTTTATTAAAGTCAGCACATCAAAAAGGATCAAAGAGAAAGCTAGTGAGAACCAAAGAAACCCCAAGCGTATTGTGTTGTCTCACTGGGGAGTTATGCAGATTCAAGTAAACAAGTGCAAATTGTTGAGGTTTTAATGAAAATTTTCTACAATTATTGTATCTGAAGTCATTCTATATAATAACATCTGTACAGCAGATGGCCATACTGTACAAAAGGCAAGCAATGCTCCTTTTTCTTCCTCTGTTTTAACAGTACATCTGAGATGACTACTTTTGTCATTGTGCTTAGTTTGGTTCAGCAAATAATTCGTAAAATGCAGCTGCTGCAGATGGTCACAATAGTTATTTGACTGTAAAATCAAAGCCACAGTGAAGTATTTGCGTATTAGTTTCGTTCTATAAAAAAAAGCTGACATTAACCCTGTTCAGCTCAAAAGGTATATCTATAAAACCTTTTGTAAAAAGAAAAATAGTGAAGAACTGATATATTTAAATACTCCTTGCTTCCAAGACACAGCTACTACATTTGTTTAATTCAGTTAGCTTGCATAATTTCTTTGCAATAATAAAACAATCTTGTTAGTAACTGTGGTATTCTTCCAATGTATTTTTAACACCAGATTATAATACCATTTTCCTCACACTGAGTAATTTATCTTCTTCCCTGAAGTTATAATTTCCACTTTGGTTTCTATCAGCACTTCAAATTCAAATTAATAGTTTTAAATAAATATAAGATAAAAAATATTAAAAGATTTTTCCACTGTTTCAGTCAGTTTTGTGAAAGTGTCTTGCACTTCTTGACACTTAGAACAATTTACTGCTCCACCATAATAACACGCAAAACCTCATGCACAAGTATTTTCTTTTCATAAAGCAAAGATAAGGCAACTTCAACTGGAAAAAATGTGAAAAAAGTCTGCTGATGTCTACTTATTGTCTCATCATAAGTTATTCATATAGAATGACTGATTTCCATTTTCATTAGATTCAGCATCAGTATTGCTTTACTTAATAATGCTTGCCAGACTGCAAACATACTGAAGATTCATGTATAGCTTGTGACATGAAAAATAAAGACTGGCTTCCTCAGACTGCCAGAAGAATTAAAAAGCAGAACTTCGTAGCAGAATATTTCTGAGGCTTAATGTGCAAGACAAGGTATGTCCTTCTCCTGGGAGGATGAAAAACTCCAGGGTAAGTGATATACACTGCTGAGTTTGCCAAACTGCTTTATAGTACAGACAGAACAGGCTTGGCTTTGATATACTGAAGCTTGCTGTGGACACCAAAATGTACCACGGGACAGATAATGTATAAATGATAGAGGGAAGATGTAGAACGAAAGAGGATTATTACACAGAATGAAAACTAGAACTATTTAAAGGACATTAGAAAGGCCTTTTACTCGGTTGCATTGCTTTCTATGCTAGATTGCAATTCGATTGGAAAAGCGTGGGAACGCAGGCACTGCTCCTGCCTGCACTGCTGTTTGTTTATGGATGAATCGAGAGTTTCAGGCTCCAGCACATTCACAGGCTTTCATGTCCTATGAACCTTAAATTTTTCATTTTTAACTTTTAAAACAATAAAGAAACACTAAAACTTGCTGGCCTGAGGAGAAATATTTCTAATGAAAAAGAAATAAATCACCACCTTGCTTGGCTTAAAACTTGTTCCTCTCAGCTACAGACCATTTTACCTTGCAAGCTGTTCTGCCAACTACCTACATCTGGCTCATCTCCACATCATGTAAATGTACCATCTTATTAATTTTATTAAAAGACTAATAAAAGATTTTACAAAGACACACAAAATGTCTTCATTTTAAATGACTCTGGTATCCTGTTAATTGTACCCAAGGCGTAAAGTTTCCTTGCAGTTCTGCAGTAATGAGGCCAGAGCGCCCATTTTCCCTGGGTGATTCTCAGCTGTGCAGAGGAAGCACGTAAAAATTGAAAAGTTCACAAACCTGAAGAAGAGTAACAGTATGGCCCAATATTTACATAGAAGAATATCTCAGGGCTCTGAAAATTATTTTTGTATCTTTGTAAGCAGGAATATAGGGTCCTAACAAGAAAATGTAATTGTAGAGTGAAAACCATCAAAATGTTGCCCTTTGAAGTATGTGCTGAATTATCAGAATACCAGAATAGTGGTTCTTATAACCACTATTCCAGCCAGAATTCCATCAATGAATTAGTAATTACAAGATGGGGGATATTAACTACAAAATTAAGCACTCCTGAGTGCTGCCTTACTGAAAGGAAATGGAGTCAGTCAGGGATTTGTTATTTTCTGTTGTGGATTTACGATGTTAGCTAGAGGAGTTCCTCTCAAAGCCCCACAGTTTAAAATGGTAACTAGGCCACCACTTGAACAAATCAGTAGCACTTGCAGCTTTCAAAACCTCTTACCTGCAGTTTTATGTCCACTTTTAACATTCAGGCTCCCTCTGAGGTTTGATACGGAGAGTAACAAACAAGGTTTACAGGGATGCGGGATGGTTTCCATCGAAACAACCATTTGAACGGTGTGAATAGAAATTTTCTGGAAGCAGGAAAGGGCTTGCCATAACTTTTCTTGTAGTGAAGCTTTCTGCACAGCATGGGTGTGCACTGCAGGTAGCACATCCCTTGTACCGGGATTTCTGGTTATTGAAGAGCCATTCTCGTCTGGAATAATGCCAGCTGATGGGTCAGCCTCCTTCCTGGGTTCATCATCATTTGTGGTTATGATTTTCTTCAAAAACTGGTTTATTTGATCAAGTCTGGCAAAACTGAGATTTGCTTTCAAAGGTTTTGATATGTCCACATTTATGTCAGCTGTAGGAGAGAGTTGGAGAAAAAAATATGAAATGCTATAGTGCAATTATTCAAGCAATGTAAAAATATTAGTCATTTCATCGGGATAACATTATTTCTACCAAGTTTCATGAAAAGGACTGAATGTTAAAACATAATGAAACTAGCTTTTTTAATAAATCTGAATTAAAACATCATGAAAAATACTACAAGGAATCTTCACAAAACACAGTTTTAAAGGAAAAAAACATATCACAATGTGGATCTTATTTCTCTGTTTCTACCCAGGGATCACCACAGCTATCTGAAAGACACACACTTTATCTGAGCGTGTAGGAGGGTAAATACATTAGTCCTTTTGTGTCAGAATGAAAATATACTTCACATTCTCTTGAGTTTTGCATCCAGTAAAACTATTTGACTGAACTCCAAAGCCAACAGCAAACATTTTAAACACATTTAAATGAGTGAGTAACATGTATATTCCATTGTTTTCTATACAGCTAGCATGCAGTATTCTTCAATGCATTTTCATGATGAAATGTGAAAAAAAGTCAAATATAAAAGCCAATGTATGTTGAGATTTCTTTGTTTTCCAGGGAGATTGGAATAACCTAATATTTTCAAAATGTTCTTTGTCTCCTTAGTAAAGGATTTTAGTACTTCCCAGACTGTTTAAAATCTCACAGAATTTTTAGAAATCACAATTAACATGAACAACATCGACAAAAGTGACATTATAGTAGTTGAGATGTTGCAATTACCAAGATCATTTCACAGATGGGAAGCAGGATTTTATGACGGTTGAAACTCCCTTCTGTGCTAACTACTTTTTTATCAGTACATTACACTTCATTACGGAAATCCAGCTTTAACTTAGCTTTAAAAAGTCTTCATTTCAAATTCAGCCAGCAATGAGACAGCTACCCTGGGCAGGGGGAAAAGGTTTGCTTTTCACTTTCCTATTTCATTCCCATTGCCCCACCCCCAAGAACCCACAATGATTAAAATTCTGTGCACATATCTAAGCTAGATTAAATGTTCAGAGAAAACAGCACTACTTAGTTTCAAGTTTCACTATAGATGTATTTGAGAAACACTGTTTGTTCAAGGTTTTGCACAGATTAATAAGTATTTCACCAAAATTAGGACCTAGTTTCAAGTTGTCCAGGATCACATTCTACCCTTCCTGTAGATGCAAACTGATGAGCTCAATTCTCCCACTCTTTAGGTAAATTAGAAGTTTTCAAAACAATGGTAGGGCTGCAGGAGCAGAGTTTCAGAGCTGTTCTTAAGTGCAGGTTTATACTTCAGAGAGTCCCAGGCACAGGACAAAGCACTTTTCTGACCCCCCAAATATCTGTGGGGTTCTAAATTTCAGTTAGATTCTTTGGTATCTTAACAGGCAAGTCTCTGAATTATAAGCTAGCATTTTTTTCTACAACGGTAAGTGCAACTTACTAATGGGCATATAGGATTTATTACAGCTGCACTAAAAAACTCCCAGCAATCTTAAAAAAGAAGTCTGTAGTATTCCACAAGCCACAGATAACTGAAATTTAAGACTAAAAATCTATTTTAACTTAGAATTTTAATTAACGGTTTTCTGAAAATGCTTTCTCTTGTGTTAAAGTCTTCCATGCTGAACTAGGAACTGTGGCAAGACACTTGCTAATGCATGGGCCTAGTACAAAGGCAAACATCAAAGCTAGGAAGCTGGACATCACAAGAGAACAGACCTTTAGGCATCCAAAATCCACACATGATCAACTTGGAAGATTTTTCAAAATGCTTATGCACTGATATTTTTAATTAAAACCAAGGGAAGAGAAATGTCATAACACTTTTGAAAATCTCTCCACCCTTCTTGGCAGTAAAGAATACCCCAAGTCTCCCCTGCCTTTTTGCACACATCACGGGTTCTCTCCTCCCTTTGAGTGGAGAAAGGAGACACAAAGAAACTGAACACCCACGTGACAGTATGATATTTATTTAATTATGATACTCAAATGGAAAGTAGTGTTATTCTAATTAAATGTTCTAAAAATAAACAAACAACCCAACAAACAAATAAGCAGCATTTTTAAAATGACCCAAGTTTGAAATCCAAACTGCACTAGGATTTGGGCTTCTGAACCATTTAGGCACTTTCCAAACAAATCCTTTATCAGCTTAATTTTGTCCATTAGTGACGTAGTAGCACAGGAATAAAACGTATGTTCTTGGCTTTGCTACAGAATTAAGTTTGTAAACAGAGGAAAAGGACCCTTATCGCTTTGTGATACATCTTTCACATCTAACTGCTTTGTCAGTGGCACATTTTATTGCAAACACTTTCTTATGTACTTATGGCAATATTGCCCAAAAGAGGAAAAAACAACAAAACCCCTACAACCTATGATTCTAAACCCCAAACCAATCAGATGTAAGTTGACAGAACAAATGCCAAGCTAAAGCCATAGAGTAAAGTGATTGAGAAAGATTTAAAAGGAGATGAATATGAGAGCAGCAGTTCTCTCTTGGGCTTCCTCAAGACAGAGGAGGAGGAAGACGCAGGGCTCTGGAGAAGCTCACCAGTGGAACAAGCATACGGCACCTCCTGTCCTAGCCTGTGGTTTATCACTGCTGTTAGTCACTTGTTTCCATAAACAAGAGAGCAATAAAAAAATGGACACTAGGACACCAGAGAAATGCAAATGAGCTCCCTGTTTTCTGTTTGGAAGCTGTACATGTTACACAGAAAAATGTTATCATGACTGATAACTTGACAAAGATTTGTCTTAAGTTGTTACTATTACCTAGTGCATCAGCCTTGACTGAAGGCGGTGGCAGACACACGGATAATTGCAGAAAATGTAATTCTGGATCTGTCAATGCAAATATTTTAACTATCTATCTCACAGTGACACAGGTTATTCTCACAACTGGGGAAAGATTATGTAAGGAGATTCTTTGGCATTTTAAGTAAAACGTTCAAAAAAAATAAAAATCCAGCTGAGCAATCAACATTTTTCTAGTTTTTGTCCTGCTTTACACTTAGCACTATAAGAGAAAATTTAACATTTCTTCTAAGAAAGCATATTTAATGCACAGAAACAGTGAAAACTGTTGAAATGTGAAGAGCTATTTATAGCAGATGATGAAGACAGATGTACAGCAGCTTCTCCATTCACTCAAAATGGACTAAAAAGAGATGTTATGATGTAAAGGGTCACCTAGATGCAGCTAGAATAACACTTCCAGGGTTGAAAATCCAAGGGTACCAGCCTTTTTAGATGATGTTAAGCACCTTGGGAAGCACATCACAGAACACTGTAAAGATTCTGTACCACTAGGAAAACACAGGTTCCTATAATACAAACAAGTCATTGAATTGTCCAAAATTACATGAAAATTGGGACAGGGCAAAAGGTAGCTCAAAGCTGCCTTTAACTCCTCAATTACATCAGTCTCTTCTTTGGCTACCAGTGACTGGCTACCACAATTACAGCCCAATGCTTTCTTCAGATTTAAGACATAATACATAATAGCAGTAACTCCCCCCTCCACCCCCCCACCCCCCCCCGATGTTATCTATTTCCAGCAAATAAATAGTAAAGAAATTACTGTGCTTGTAAAGATTGCATTCAAGTGAGTTATTTCTGGTTATGTTTACATCAGACTGAACTAGATGATATCATGATATCAAAGCTTCAAAGCTCTTTTTTTTTTTAATTACAGTGTATCATTTGAATGTAGATTTTGACTTGTCTTTCTTTCATTTTCTTCGCTACAACTTTTTAGATTATCCAGTAAATCCATGTCTGTCAATTATTAGTTTCTAATTACCCTTCACAACTTTCTGAACAGCTACTAGGAAACAGAAAGATGAAATAACTATTGAGTTAAAAGGAGATTAGATAAATGTAAATAAATTACACTTATTATATGCTCCCACCACACCAGGAGATGACTTAACAGTGAAAGGAAAAGAATCACGTTGCAATAATGAAATCAGAGAGGGAATTCAGGTCCCAGAGGCGATTCTATGGAGTTTATGTTAATGTACACCTTGTGGGGGACCAAAAAATAAACTGGAATAGTTTCCTGAAAACCGTTTCCAGCTATTTTCTCATTTAAAAAGTTCCAACTTCACTTGACCCATTAGTCATCATATTACTTACATTTATTATGTATTTTGAAATCTATTACAAAAAACTCAATGGATTCAATATGGCCTGTTTGAACAAAATCATAACATCTATAAAAGAAAACCTATGAGCAGCACTCTGAAACTTCTGTCTGAAACAATTTCTTTCTTTGTCGTTTTATTACTCAGAGCTGCAGATAAAAAATTTCAGGGTTATGAGTATTTTACTCTTGTTCTCCATAACATTCAGATTTGTACTGTGAAGGTACAATTTTATTCTGTGAACTTGGGGTAAATGATATTACTCAAAAGGACTTTTTATTTGGTGGGCTATGAATGAATAAGCAACACAAAAATAACAGAGCTCCTAGCAAGTTGCATTAGGTCAATCCCAGCTCTTACTAAAGTCAGTGAGCTTATTAAGTTAATGTACACCAGGTAACTACTTCTATGACTAATAAACTACCATAGTATACTCTGAATTTGAAAAACCAGAAAGTAAACTCCATTAAAATTATTTATAAACTTTATTTATAAGATTGGGATCTTTCCACAGACTATGAGAAATGCTGAACCATAAGAGAGAAAAATATGGCATTTTCCAAGAATTTGTTCACTTCCCATAACCCTCATTCTCCAGTAGATCTTTTATTTCTTACAGCTAATATAGAAAAGTTCAGGTCTGTTGTCCTCAAGTTGGACATGCGTCTTGCTCTCCCCTACCCCAAGAAGACTGTAAAATATTAAAATTCTTAATAAATCGTAGTGCTATAAAAGAAACTACTATTTGCCCTAAACTCTTAGGACGGTTGAATTTCCTAATCCTAAACAGTAGAAGAGCACACAACAGACACGGAACATTTTACCACCAGTAACATTCTTTCTCCGGGAG